ACATATATTCAGATGATCTACTCTGAAATTAAGTGGAGATTTTCAAAAGACCTCCATCTTATTTACCAATAGCTTTGCAATATTTATAGATTATTACATTACACTACAAAAAGAAAAGGGACGTGGTGGCTCAGTGGCTAAGATGCTGAGCTTGTCGATCGAAAGGTCGGCAGTTCAGTGGTTCGAATCCCTAGTGCCGTCTAGCGGGGTGAGCTCCCGTTACTTGTCCCAGCTTCTGCCAACCTAGCAGTTCGAAAGCGCGTAAAAAAAATGCAAGTAGAAAAATAGGGACCACCTTTGGTGGGAAGGTAACAGCGTTCCATGTGTCTTTGGCATTTAGTCATGCCGGCCACATGACCACGGAGACGTCTTCAGACAGCGCTGAAATGGAGGTGAGCACCGCCCCCTAGAGTCGGGAACGACTAGCACAAATGTGTGAGGGGAACCTTTACATTTACCTACAAAAAGAAAGTACATATTAAAAGGACATATATATGGAGATCAGAAGAACTGTCCTGTTATGTGCAGCATTGTTTACTTCTGAGTAAACCTGAATGGAATTGGAGAATGGGAAACTCTTACCATTAGATTTACTCTGCATTCCCTATCAAGGATTTATTTGCTAAGCAACATGGAAGGAGATTACAGGGAAATTAAAGACGAAGGGGAAAAAGGCAGTGGTTGTGTTGTTGCTAAGAAAACAAGTCAATATGACCGTGAAATCATCAAGGCATCAATTTTGACCTACAGAGGACTTAACTTTACACATCAGAACATATTTGGTTAGGGTTTGTTTGTTTGTTTTTTGTTTCTAAGTAAATCTGTTAAATTTCCCCATTCTTAACTAATTTGGAGATGATAACATTGTTCTTCCTATTGTGTAATTCTCCAAATGTCGACTCATTTCAAAGATTTCATCCCGCAAAGCTTAATTTGGGGGAAGTTGCACATAAAATGCTTTATTTGATGGGAAGTAGAGGGCAACTAATGATTGTTCGGGAAAATTGCTTATGAAAATAAAGATGGATATTTCTGTACTTAAATAGCCATAGATTTATAGCCACAGAAAAACACAAGAGATGGTTTGAATAGATTTATGCCTGAATAGCGATAAAACTCATACAAATCTTCCACAGCTTCTTGCTCAAGATTCATTTAGCTCAAGGTTTATTTACTTTTAAAGATTCGTTTGTTTATTTGGTTTGCATTCATTTCCCCATCATTTGCATTTATTTAAATAGCAGCACACATTTGTCAGAGACAGAGCAGGGAACTGTTTCTCTGTGCGTATGCACTTATGTTTCTTTGCTTGCTTTGTCTTAGTATATTTGGTTTGTTTGTTTTTTTTTAATCTGGGATTTGAGTTTCTATAACTAGTTTATCTGTGCATATTTCTTTGATGGCTCAGTTCCCATACAAATATACAAAATATGGCACTCAACAATAATACTAATCACAGGCTACAAGACATACTTTTAACTGAAAAGACAATATCTTCCTTTATTGGTGAGTGAAAACACGTATGGACTTTTTGTGTAAAAAGTTAAAAAAATGAACTTCTTTGTAGTTTATAGTTGATTTATAGTTTATAGTTTTGTTGATTAGATAGGATAAATTGTAGAAAGAAGAAAGTCATGGAATAACTTGAGAGAGAGAGATCAATCTATAATTGTATTTATAACTGCAGAAAAGAATAGTACTCACATCTTTATATTGTTCTTTCCTTTCTATCTTTCTGCTATTCTTTTTCTTTTAACAATTAGTTTTTTTTCCTTTTTTCCTTTTCTTTTTTAAACTCTATTTTAATTTGTATTAGTCCTAATCTTGTGTTTAAAAATTTTAATAAACGTATTTCATATACTTTCAACTGCAATATTCTTATTGTTCAACCCAAATACTAAGATCCTCTCAGTGCAAAGCTGGTAGATGTTTTTCAGCAAATTTTTCACATTTCACGTTCTGTGAAATTTCATTAACAAGTTTCTGGGCTTTTTGTATCTTGCTGAAAAGCAACAACTCTGTGCTCCCAAATTGCAGCACAGAGTTGTTGCTTTTCAGCAAGATACAATAAGTCCAGAAACTTGTGAATGAGATTTCACAGAACTAGGGCTGAAGAACATCTTAGCTTACGTAGGTAAAACTTGGCTAGAAAGAATATGCATATATATATATATATATGTGTGTGTGTGTGTGTGTGTGTGTGTGTGTGTGTGTGTGTGTGTATGTATGTATATATGTATATATGTATATATATATTCTCATGTGTGTGGGTAGGTGTGAATTTGTGCATTGAAGACAAACTTGAGTCCTGGCAACTACCTGGGAATGTCCCTGCAGTTTTCTTGCCAACACTTTTGAAAATAGTGTTTGTGTGTGTATTTGTGTGTGCATTTATATGTGTATCTCTGTGTATGAATATCATGCATATGATATTATGCCTCTTGCTTATTTGTGTGTCCACTGCTTATTAAATTAGATTCAAAACTTTCAGGCTTGTCCTCAACCTTAATCTAAGGATCTGTGAGAAACTACAAAATCTATGCCATGAAAAAATTCATCCAAGCACAGCCTGTTGCTCATTGATATCTATGTACCAAAACAGTAGAAGTAACAGTTTGTAGAACGGTATCCTGTAAATTAAGCAATATTTAGTAAATAGCAAACTCATTTTTAATTATTGACTAAGCTGATTTGACTTTAGTGTTAGGCACAGCAATCCTACTGCATTTCCCCACTATTATTACTATTATTATTATTATTATTATTATTATTATTATTATTATTATTATTATTATTATTATTATTATTATTTTAATTTCATGATCAAGACTCTGTTTTGGCAGGTTTTTTTCAAAGGAAAAAAGAGAATTTTGGAGAAGTTCTCCTGAATGGGATTGTAATATTCTGGGATTTAACTAGGGGAAATAATGTATCCATTTTCTCTGCCCAGAATGTTACTGAAGAATCTCTGAAAATATTGAAATCATCTCGTTTCCATCAGTGCACATGATATTTATTTATTTATATTTATCTATTTATTTAGCAATATTTATAGCCCACCCCAGTTCTAGCAGTCTGAGTGGGTTATGAGATTGTAAAGCCTAAGAACAAAACAGAGTTCATTAAAATTGTCAATAAACTGTCAAAAAAATGATAGATACACACAGTAAATTAATTTAAGGATAAAAATGTTGGTTGTAAAATATGATCATACTTACTTACTTACTTACTTACTTCCGGAAGGAGAGTTTTTTTATGCAATCGAAACCACCAACAAGAACGCCTGTAGCTTGGTCCACACACCATGTGCTGGGGCAATTTGCATACAGACTTTTTAAAGGCTACACCAGATCTGGCAAAAAATGTTATAAACTAAAATCCCAAAATGAAGAAGCAAATGAAGAAAATGCAAACAAGGGCATTTTTATAGTACAAGATTTAAATTCACCGTAACAGAAAAAAAGATACTCAGGAAACTGGCTTACTTCTTCCTCTATTATTCTTCCCCTTAGATCCTCAATTCAACTACCAGAAGAAATTTTACTGAAATTACTGTTTATAGATATCCTGCTTACGTACTGCTGTTTTCATGTCTTTCTGTTAAGTGCCTCTGTAAGATTTTTTTTTTTCACCTAACAAGGCAAAACATTTTCACCAAAAAGCTTTAATGAACATTTCAGGATGAAGGTGAAAGCAAAATAAGCAATTGAAGCTTTGCTCACTGTTTGAGAAGACACCACTTAGTTTCTGTTGTTTATTTTTAAAAGTGTAATTAGTACATTGTAGGAAATGAAACATCTGGAAAGAGAATCTAATAAAAGTGAATGTAAGCAGGTGCACAATTTTAATCCATCAGACCATTTTTATCTTGTACTTTTTTCCTTTTCTTTCATCCCTCCCTTCTTCTTTCCTTCCCTCCTTCTGTCTTCCCTCCCTTCCATTTATTAATCAAAACTCCTTACTATTTACCACTCTTAGATTTAGATTTTAGATTTAGATTTTATTTGATTTATATACCGCCCTAGCAGGGGTGGGTTCTAATTTTTTTTACTACCTGTTCTGTGGGCATGGCTTATTTTGTGGGTGTGGCTTGGAGGTCATGTGACTAGGTGGGCGTGGCTAGCTGGTCAGAGTCATTTCTGGAAGGTCCTCGCACTTACAACCAGTCCTCGCACTTACGACCCGACTCCTTTGTTTGCTTTTAACACTGATCAGCTGTAGGACGGCCCTTTGAAGCCCCGCAGCAAGAGTTTAAATAGTTTTTTTCCCACTAGTCATCAGCTGGGATTCAGGAGGCAGCAATAGATTGGGGGTGGGACCAAATAAAAGGTAAGAATAACGTGGTGGGGGGGCAGAATCCATTCGGGGACGTCATATCATCACTGCTACCGGCTCGGCTGAACCGGACCAAACCGGGAGGAACCCACCACTGCGCCCTACTCCCGAAGGACTCAGGGCAGTGAACAACCACAGATAAAACACATAGATGCAAAATTTAAAAGCAAAGTAAAACCAAATTAAACAATTTTGGCCCAAGACAGATTTAAAACACCCCAATAATTTAAATCTTCAAATCTTAGATTTGAAGTCACAATCTTCCATGTTCCGTGAGTGCACCAGATGGGATCATAGATACTAACCTCCATTAGCCAACATTGCTTTGATGAATCAAGGTTTTCACATCATACATTTTATTCAGACAAGCCAGGCCAAATTATCTCCCTTAATTCAAACCATAAAACCTAATGATGAAGACAGGACTGATCAGTGTTGGCAGTTTTGGCCAGTTTGCGACAAGTATAACCAAAACCCAATTTGACTTCAAGTGTGCTCATTATCCAATTGTTAATACAGAGATTATCTTGCAAGATAATGTTGCTCACATCTCAGCAATTAGACTTATATGCAATATTCTGACATATTCTGACATGCAATCAATATGCATTTTTAGGAATTACGATAAAGCCTAATGCCAACTGTTTTGTCTTTTGTTCCAACAGGAGTACCTGCAGGCATAGAAGGAAGAGAAAAGACTGGAGCAGAATGGATATATCATCCCCTTCTCCTTTCGCTTTCTTACCACAAATCAATGCAACATCCACTGGCAAAAACAGAACCTGTTACGATTCCGGCATAAATGAAGAAGTGCTTATTTTTGCAATCTTCACTGCGCTTTTTTGTGTGTTGGGAATGTTGGGCAACGGCCTCGTGATCTGGCTGCTGGGCTCCTCCGTGAAGAGGAACACTTTTGCCATTTATATTATCAACCTCTCTGTTGCGGACTTTGGTTTCCTCACCTTTGAGCTGATTATCGAAATCCACTGGTTTTTTACACATTTGTACTGTGACTTTCCCTATGAACTCTTCCAAACGGGCTTGCTGTTAATGTACAGTACGGGGCAATTTCTCCTGACCGTCATCAGCATCGACAGGTGTGTTTCGGTCCTTTTCCCAATTTGGTATCGATGCCACCGGCCGCTGCACATGTTCACTACTGTGTGTGCTGTCATCTGGGCCATTTCCTTCATCCTCTCTTCCATTCATTTTACAATTATAGCAGTTGATGGATTTGGAAACAGTTTTACCCTGATGTATCAGTTCATCGTTAACGCTGTGCTTTGTCTCCCACTTATGACCATCTCCAGTGTCACTTTGTTTATCAAAATCTGCTTTATATCCAAAAGCCAAAGACGGAGGCAGCTTTTGACAGCTATTTTGCTCACGCTTTTCTTCTTCTTAGTCTTGGCTTTTCCGCTAAATGCCTTTTATTTTATCCTATATGTTTTCAAATATATACATCCCAACCTTGTACATTATGGCTACTTATGTACCTGCATCAACAGCGGCATTAACCCCGTCATCTATTACCTGGTGGGGAGACAGAGGGGTAAATCCAGGAAAGGCATCAAAGACTTGTTCCAGAAGGTTTTCAAGGAGGAGGAACTCTCTACTGATGAACTGGAGACATCGGAAGGTTCCAAGATCTGAATGCTTTACTTTCACTCTTCTCAATCAAAAGATGCCTTTGTTTCTTTCCAAGCAAGCCCGAAAACTGGTCTTTATGCTGATTAATTTCTGCATGTATCCAGAATCCGTGCAGATAATTATCTTTGTGGAAAACAAAATATTTCTCAAGTTGGACTATGTAACATATGTAACAGTAGCAGAATTGGAAGGGACCTTGGAGGTCATCTACTCTAGCTGACGCAGGAGATCTGGGATTCGAACCACCGAACCGCCGACCTTTCTGATCGACAAGCTCAGTGTTTTAGCCTCTGAGCCACCTAATCTATTTACCAAGTATTATCTGAAGACTAATTAACTTGCTCTAATTCAGCCTTGCCCAACTGGAGTGGCCTCCAATTCTGCGTGTTTGAACTTCAGTGTCTAGATGGTAGGATCATTGCTGAGAATTTTCAAAGTTGACATTCGCACCTTTGGAAGGTGTCCATTGGAAGGATCCAAAATCTGAACTCTTTCATTTCACCATTCATTTCTTTCCAAGCAAGCCCATGATTTCCTCTTTTTTTATTTAAAAGAAACTGCTCTGTATTCTGGATCATTTGTGCAAGAATCCCCAATTTGTACAGACAATTATCTTTGTGGAATCTCAAAACATTTTTCAAACAACCTCTTTAACTAATATCTACCACCTGAAGATTAATTAGCTTGCTTGAGTTCAGCCTTTCCCAACTTGAGTGGCCTCCAATTCTGTGTGGTTGAACTTCAGCATCTTAGCCAGTAGGACAAGTGTTGAGAATTTTCAACGTTGACATTCACACCTTTGGAAGGTGTCCATCATAGAAAGGTGAAGCCAAGGAAGCACAAATGCCACTTTTAAAATGTCCCAAGTTGTATCAGGTACATGACCAATGATGAAGGGTAATGGAACTGTAGCTCTACACTACCTGGAGAATCCTAAATCTGTATCTCCATGAGACCAGGATTCATCAACTCAATTGTATCAAGGGTGGACAAATGTTACAACAAGAACATCACGTGAAAACATTTGTGGCTGATTCCAGAAGAAAAGAATCAGAGAAAGACTGAAACTATTTCAAGTGGCAATATCTACAAACTGATCTCTCTTCTTATACATATATATATATACATACATACATACATACATACATACATACATACATACATATGTGTGTGTGTGTGTGTACAGTTAATACTTACATAGTATTTACTTACTTACATAATAATACTTACATAATACTTACACAGTTAAAACTTATATATATATATATATATATATATATATATATATATATATATATATATATATATATATATATACACACACACACACACACATACATACACATACATATATTGTACTTAGAGCAATTGCATTTCAACCATTTGTTATAGCTTTTAAGGTATGTGCATGCACAAATGAGATTTAAAGGTTTCATATTATTAGGACAGACACAGAAGCAACTGCAACTAAAACAATGCTAAACTTCTTTTACAGAAGGTAAAAAATAACATTATTTACTCAGTATATTCCTCCTAAAGAGCTAGCAACAACAAAGCATGGTGTTGCTCTGAACTTTTTCTTTTTGTTTTTTGCTTTCTTGCGAAAGTGCAAATGACTATTTTACACAAAAAAATTCCATGTGGTTCACTCGCTGTGGCTCAATGCTGAGAAAATGAATCTTGCTATGTTAGAATCATGTGGGGCTACCCATAAAGTTAGTTTTAAAGGTTTCAAGTGGTGCAGGAAGGTTGGTAATAGCCACTTGGCATTCTGATTTTATTATATTTATTGTACCATAATGTCAATGGCTGCCTATTCAACTTGAGAGAGAAGTTGTAGGTATCAAATGGTCAGGCACAAAGTTTGTATAGGATTTTATGGGTGATATGCATCTGAAACTTGTGCTTTGATATAGCCTATAGCCGTGATGGCATGTATAGTCATATGAGTGGGCATGCAAACTCAGCCGGCCAGCCACTTTCGGGCCTTCTGGGCCCCCCAGAAGTAGGGAAACAGCTGTTTCTGGCCTCCAGAGGGCCTCTGGGGGAGTGGGGAAGGCTGTTATCACCCTCCTCAGGCTCTTACAAAGCCTTTGGAGCCTGGGGAGGGCAAAAAACGGGCCTTCCGGGCCCACTGTGCCATTGCGTGCCAAAAACGGGGGTAATGCAGGTGGGTCACACACACATGCACAGGGGGGCAGGGCACATAGAATTATGGATGTGGGCACCCGCATGCACGATCCCCCTGCACTCCCCCTGCTTTTGGCACGCGATGGCAAAAAGGTTAACCATCACTGGCCTATAGGCTAATCAATAAAGCAGTAAAATAAAATCCCTAAATGGTTCTGGGTTATCATATATAAGAAAGCTTCTGCTCTCATATCAACAGAAGGCTATTTTCCTGCCTTGGGAAATAAATGAAACATTCTAAGCTTTGTGGGTCTCGTGTTCAAAATTCATTTAAATTACGTAGGCATCACAATTGCAGAAATAAAGAGATGCTTAAGCCCGTTTAAGCTTAGCAAAATTATTTTAGCCTCAAGCAACTTCAATTGCACCAAGGGGAGTTTTGTTTTTTCTTCCAGTAAAAGCTGATGATATTTTATCTTTTATATGGTTAAAATAAAAGTTTAAACCTTCAGATGTGGAAGTTTCTGTTAATGCAGCCCTACAATAAAATAGATTTACCGTAGCTCATGTAGTCATGTTTCCTGTCTGGTTTACACAGGACAAAGGGTATAGGACATCTGACAGATAGTTGAACGTACAGCAACTGAATGCTAGATGATATTCTGATCTAATCTTCCTTATAAAGTACACAACACAATCTTAGTCCTGGCAAACCTCTTTTATTCAAACGGCTGTGAATTATTGTCATTCCCAGTCTGAAAGGCTTCTCAAACAGTCTATCAGGGGAGTGTTTACAAACACTCACCTTATCTCCCTTGGAATGCTGCCATACCTTCAAATTGAGTCAAAATATACAGCAGACCGGAGACATTATGATTTTCAAAGCCAACCAAGTGAACTAGATAAAATTTTAAAAGGCACAGATGAGAAAATAATATCTAAAATTTATGGATATTTAATAAGGTATAAATTAGAGGAGGAAACAGTGAAAGAAAACATGGTAAGCTGGGCAAGAAATATAGGTCACAATATAGAGTTGGATAAATGGGACAAGCTATGGGCAGAAAATTATAAGATGACACTGTCGATTCCATACAAAGAAAATTTATACAAGATATTTTATAGATGGCACCTTCCTCCGGCACGTTTGGCTAAAATGTTTCCAAACACATCACCAATGTGTTGGAAGTGCAAGACACAAATGGGGACATATTACCATCTCTGGTGGTCTTGCAGGAAGGCACAACGCTACTGGCAAGAGATTAAGAGAATAATCGAAGAAACAACGAGGCAAAGTGTAGAAATGAAACCAGAACTCTTTCTATTTGGAATGACTACACCACAGTGTACCAAGGAGATAAAATATCTTACCATCCACATATTGACAGCGGCACGTATAGTGTACGCTCAGAATTGGAAATCCGAGATAATACCAACAGAAGAAAAAATAATAACAAAAATAAATGAATGCGCAGAGATGGATAGGCTCACAAAAGAGCTCCAAGATAAAGAGAACACTGACTTTTATTTAGTTTGGCAAAAATGGTACACATGGTTAGAAAGAAGGATAGGGCCAACAACATAGGACATTAGGAGAACATAACTCAAGAATTGCAGAAATAGATACATGAGATGAGCCGTAGGATTGCATAAATAAATGGTTAATATGTTTGTAGAAAGATACTGCTGAACTTCAATGAATATATCAAGGTATAAGCAAGTGAATTTGTAAATAGTATGATTAAGGAAAATTGGTTAAATGGACATTAATCACCGATGCGAAGGTTTTCTAGAAGTTAGTCGATTGACTCTTTGTTAATGTATAAGTGTTTACATGTATTTGTGTTTTATGTTTGTTTATGTTAATAAAACTTAAAAAAAAAAAAAAGAATGCTAGATGATATTCTGATCTAATCTTCCTTATAAAGTACACAACACAATCTTAGTCCTGGCAAACCTCTTTTTATTCAAACGGCTGTGAATTATTGTCATTCCCAGTCTGAAAGGCTTCTCAAACAGTCTATCAGGGGACTGTTTACAAACACTCACCTTATCTCCCTTGGAATGCTGCCAGAGAACTAATTGCAAACCCAGGGCAAGGCCAAACGTAGCACAGAGTCAAACAGAGCTTTTCCAGAGCTGTTACCGACCAGATGAACTAATTGCTTCCTGCAAAAGCTCACGTCCCTTTCGCTTCTCTTTTATGTCTTATGGGGGGGGGGGCAATCATCTCCAAGCCTTACTCCCAAGTCGCCCCTGTTTTCTTAATTGTTCCTGTCTTCTGCCAGCTCTGTGCATGCGCACACTGGGAACAGGTTGACGCTGTTCTTCTGTCTCGCTGATGTCAGACTCCTGAGACTTCGGAGGCAGCAAAGAACTACCAGATGGCCTTGGTCCCCTCTGTGCCTCCTATTCAGAGCCCTCATCCGAGCCTTCCCCAGACTCCAGGACCGGCCCACATTCCTCCCCAACCTCCTCACTGTCTGAATCTGCTGCCAGCTCTGCTGGCCGCTGGTGGGCCACAACACATGAACTGAAGACAAGCCATGCCTGAACAGAAGATCATCTCTTTGCTTCTTTGTCCTAGCAGGCAAAGGAGCAACAAGTTGCTTCTGCAAACCACAATGCTGGCAGGTGGCTTGCTCTTCTTTCTCTGCACCCAGAATGCAGATCTGAAAGCAGAAGAAGAATCAAGAGAGGCTTTTGGCTCCCCACCATCTGCAATATGGGTGTCACCATGTCTGGTATATAATGCTGACATTGCACTGGGAGCTGCAAGGGGGGCAGGGGAATTGTTGATAAGAAGTATTCCAAAATACTTCAAATATCCGGGGCAGGCACAGTGCTGATACCAACACGAAAACACAAGTTGATTTCTTCCAAGGTGGACTTCACTCTCTTCCCAATAAGTGGCTCCCAAGAATGGTGGGAGATGCAGCTAGTCACCAGCAGGGAGTGTAGTGAACAGAGCAACATTAAATATAATGTAAAAACATAAATTTTATAAATTTTATTAAATAAATAAATAAAATAAAATGGGAAATGGAATTTTGCTGGGGGTGGCTTTCTTTGTGACATTCACATTTATTTTGTGACTTGGAGACATTAAAATACGGTGAGTTTTGAGATACTGTTGAGTCTTCTTCAACGACAGTAAGTTGAGCTTTTGCATTTTTAGCTTTATTCAGAGCTCATATAGTTGTTTGTGATATGTATATATAAAATTTGGTATTATATATATATATATTACAAACTATTCTAAAAATACGAGTTCCAGGTATATTAGTAAAGAAAGAAGCAGACATACTGCGAACTCCGGAACTTAAAATTTTAAAATTTTAAAAGAATTAAAATTTTATTTTACTAAGCTTTCATCAGCCATCTGCTGACATCGTCAGAGTATTAAACTACCATTACAGAGATCTCTGTACGAAAGCCCCCACACACATACCTACAAAGCATTGCAAGCTTGTTCCAACATCACAACTGATTGCTGTGCTAGTGAACTGGAGGGAGGACGCTTCTCATGATACCAGCTTAAAGCTCATTCCTAAAATTTGGTAGCCTGCTGCTACTGATAACCTCCCACCGGCCAATATGCTCTCACAGAAAGGGCCTCCTCAGGGTGCCGTCGGTCAGGCAATGTCGGCTGGCGGCCTCCAGGGGGAGAGCCTTCTCTGTGGGGCAACCGCCCTGTGGAATGAGCTGCCTCCTGGAATACGACTGATCCCGGATCTCCATACCTTCCGTAAGGCCCTGAAGACTTATTTATTCCACCAAGCCGGCCTAGCCTAAATGGTTCTTAATTGGGATTTTAAATTTTATAGACTTGGGGGTTTCAAATTGGGAAGCCAATGATTTAATTCTTTTTAATTATCTTAACTTTTGTATTGTATGTATTTTTAATTTTGGCTGTTCACTGCCCTGAGTCCCTTCTGGGAGAAGGGCGATATACAAATTAAATTAATAAATAAAAATAAATAAATATGATCTATGGAAATGTGGAAGTTAGGCCTTGGACAAGACAAGTGGCCGTGTTCCCTTATATGGATGAATGTGTGAATGGTTTGGGAAATATAACGTCTTGCCTCACCCAAACCCACTT